TGACCCATACCCATGTGAATCTGCATCTCCTGGAAACATTCACTTACACCCTATGGGCACTTCGTTTCAGGCTGAAAGAGGCACATCTCCAAAAGCACACTTAAAACCTATGGAGTCGTCCCTCAATACCTCCGGAGTCGGGTGCCGGAGGGGGTCGGAGGCTGTGGGACCTATAGCTTCAGGCGACCTTGGTCAAGAAATGGATCCCTGCGAAGCTTCGTTGGCTTTTCCTTTCCTCTGCGACCAATGCTTCCCCTTACAAAAGAGCAGCCACTCAAGGCTCCCCCAATGCAAGCGATCCATCCGCCCGCCCACGTTGAAGCAGGGCGGAACATCGACATCAGCCAGGAGCATTGCACGCTGAGTCAACTAGCAAAAACAACCAGTGACCCATTCAGTCGAAAAGGGTTCCCACCAAAACGAAAAGGGATTTTGAGGGTGCCACCGGAGAGCAGGATTAGGCTCCTTTTCAAGGGCTCAAAATCGGGGATCCCCCAACAAAATGGGTGGTTTCCTTTTGATGTCTCTGCAAAAACCAACCCCAACAAGGGTACATGGTACCAACTCCAAAACGCTCGCCCAAATAGCAAAAGGCTGGTTTAGGCTGCATTTTCCATCAACCACAGGGGAGCCCATCTATCAAATTTTGGGCCCCACATGAGTGTATCTCAAACTTGGGGGCCACAAGATGTGGCGGCGCTCCTTTTGCTTTTCTTTAAACCCTGTGAAACGGGGTAGCTTCACAACACGCCATCTGTTCTCAGCTTCACGGTGCCAGGAATCAGCTCCCACGCCTTGCTTTCGCCGGCCAAACCGGGGAAAGCACTCTTTTGGTTGAGGGAAGCCCGTCCGAAGAGAAAAGTGTGGGCAGGGCCAGAGAGGACCTGCGATGCTTTGAGCTGTGTCTTGGAGCTCAAGTGACCTTAGGCTTCAAGCCATCCCATTTCATATGGCTGGTCAAAAATGGGTACCCAAAATGGAACCCTGGTAAATGAAACGGATTAAAACCCGGGGGTTCCAAACGGGCGGCTTCCTTTTAGCTTCCAGCTTCTCGTACCAACCGTACCGAGCCTCGACAAAAACACGAGCCACACATTTCTTGGGAGACGATGCCGTACTATTGGACGTGTCAAAATCGTGGGCCGCAGCCCAAAAGATAGATTAGGTGTTCCTTGTGGTTCCCCTTTGAACCAACCCACCAGAAAACTACCCAACAAACGCGCTGCTCATGGCTATGTTTTAAAGTGGGTGACCCCCAAAAATTGGTAGTTTTCCATTGGCTTTCCATTTGCCACCAGAAAAAAGGAAGAACACAGGTACCCTCAAAAACCAACACGCACAGGGTCCTGTGCCAACGGTCGTCTACCGAGGAGCTGGTCGACCCAGGCCTCTTCCTCGATATATTCCACCACCTCAAGCTCCCGTGAACCAAAAATAGAGCTTCCCATGGTTCACCAAGAAACAATAGAATGAAGAAACAAACATGCAATAATGGCAAAGGTTTCTCAACACTGTTTTAAGAACCTTGCAACAGGCAAGGGGATGCTCCAGCTGGCAAATGTGTGCAGTTTGGCCAGGATTCATGCTAGGAAACATTGAACTAGGTCCAAGAGCCTGTCGATGCCCCGTTCGCTTTGAAAAGGACCCCTCCATCAAATAAAGAGAACTGATCAAGAAGACCCTGACTAGGGTCTCTCACAGTTCGACATGGGACATTGGCCGGTCCATCTCGAATGAGCCGTGCGTTCTGTGTAGACCATCTATCATAGGCATGAGCTACACACGCACTTCTACCAGAAATTGCCCAAACACCCGGCAAAAGCAAGAGTTTGCGAACATTTCCGTCCAGCTGGTTTCTTGTGTCTTGAACCCAAACAGTGCTACCGGTTTCGATGCATATCCAGTCTTTCAGCATATACGGCCCCTTCAGTTGACTTGGTCTTGTGCTGATTGAAATGAAACATGCAAGAAAGGGAAACAGGCAAAGCGCTAAACCGGCAAGCTATGCCTGGCAAGGCTCATGGAGCCCCTATCCTGCTTCACCCCCCTATGAAAGGAACCTTCGGTTTCGTGTAAAACAAATCTCCTGGGGGAAGGAGCCCTGATCGGCAGAGTGAAGGGAAATTGTCGTTGAGAAGATGAGCGTGTCTGTTTGGTTTAAAGGGACACCAAAAGCAAACCGGCCATTTATTACTCAACATGAAACCCAAAAAGAACCCATTGAACGGAATCTCCTCTTGAAAATGGACCCCGTTTTGGGTTTCCCATGTCAATTTACAGGGGAGTGCTTACGTATACGGTTTGTCTCTCTCTTTTTAGGGCCCCAAAATGGCTGGTTTCCTTTTGGCTTCCCTTAAAAACCAACCAAAAGAGGGTTTCCCCAAAACGGAGACACACCCAGCTGGAGTCGCACACCGGGGCAAACCCGGGCGAGTCAGGCGAGATCCGCCTCGCCTGCGCCACCGCGATGGCGCAGGCGCGGGCGTGCTTCCAGTCGTTGGAGCTCGCCAGCAGCGCCCGCATGACTTTGAACCTGGGTCCAGTGACGCTATGGAGTCGTGAGTCGGCTGGTCATTTTGCTTTTATTTTGGGGAGGTACCCACACTTGTTTGGGTTCGTTTGGGAAACCTCTTCCATTTGCTTAAGTCCCCTGGAAAATGTATAGTGATAGATTCCGGTTAAAGTATTAAAAAACAAAAAGAAACACATTCTTAAGCAAATGGAAGCGTTTCAATTGAGTCGTGAGTCGTGAGTCGTGAGTCGGGCGACTCGTCGATTTGGTTTTTGGGGGAGGTACCAACACTTGTTTGGGTCGTTTGGGAAACCAAAAAGGCAGCCGAAGCCCAGTTTGCGGGTTCCGATTCCTATTTTGAGAGAAACCCAAATGGGCACGGGAGTGATTCTGAGATTGTGATTCGAAGCCCCCCTTTGGTTGCAGGGAAACCAAAAGGACACCCTTGCCATTTTAGTGAAATGGACCACTCGTTTGAGAAACTGGGAGTTTTTTGTCATATCCTGGCTTGTCTATGGTCAACTTGGTTGGATAACATGGGTGTTCCGTTTTAAGCTTTTAAAGGGAAGTTAACAGGACATCTGAAGCCATTTTGGGGGTCCACCTACTCTGACACACACCCAAGCATGACCTGGGAGAACTTTTTAGACCTTATCTTGCCTGTCCAGAGTACCTCTTGAAAAAAAAGAGACAACAACGTTGACTAAAGATGGACCAACAAGGGAACCCAACAGATTGAACAGTTGGACAACTGCGCTTGCTGAATGCATAACAACAAGTTCGGACCTTGACTGAACCTCTCCTCGCCGAGGGCCCATAAAGTGAGTCTTAAACCTCAAAAGGAACTCTTGGGTATGGGTCAAAATAGGGACTTGGACCTTTGGTTTCCCTTTGGTTTCCCTTTGGTTTCCCTTTGGTTTCCCTTTGGTTTCCCTTTGGTTTCCCTTTGGTTTCCCTTTGGTTTCCCTTTGGTTTCCCTTCAAACTAACCCCAAAATGAGTACTCTTCAAACAAAAAAACGGTAGGCGAAGCTGATAAACACAGCACGACGGAGTCAACCAGGAATGTTCTGGATCGCTACTTGCCTCGCCGCAAAGGTTTATCACACTCGCCTGCCTTCCCTCTGTCCAAAAAAAGGTGTCCAAAAAAAGGTGGCTACGACCGAAGACATGCAGCCCCGGGGTGAAGAACCGTCACGGTAGAACTTAGAGCCACCTTAGGTGCAAATATATTGCCACAAGACCTGGAACTAGATTTCCATTTGGGAAGAAAGTATGAAGCAACTTCCAACGAAAGGTCAAAAGGGTCGGCTCTGCTTTGGGCAGGTTCTGGCCTGGTGGCAAGTTGCCCTTTTTGCAACTAGAAACCCGGAGCGAAATCCTCCGACCTGGCCGCGAACAAAACCGAGGTCTTTCCGACAGTAGCCCTGTTGTAAGAACATATACCACGCAAAACAAGGCTCAATCAAACGTAGCTCTCAAACAATATGTTTAGTGCTGAGACGGGTCTCCGGAACACATACGATTGAAGACAAGGGGCAAGGTCGGCATGAACGCATCCTCCAGCCTGTCCTTCCAAGCCGCTCGCCGAGGTGCAACAACAAAAAAAGACTGAGATGATAGCTAAGTGGCTACAACTCGCTTTGTTTGCAACACCCTCAAGAATGGTTGGTGGCCAAAACATATGGTACCAAAACACCCCCCAATCAGTTGTGAATCCCCATGAGGGCCTTTATGGCATTCAAATCCCCAGGAAACGTGCGATGTGCACAGGGGAGACTCAGACAGGAAAAACATTTTGCCATGCATATATATATATATATTTGCGAGTATGTATATACATGTAAATATGTGTATATGTGTGTGTTTTGAGGGTGCCCTTTGTGTTTGGTCCACGAAAACCATAGGAACCCATTTGTTTATTTTTTGGTTGGGGGGTCCCTTAGTTGACTCACGCCAATGTTGATGTCAGGGTACTAAAATGCTGGGAGTGTGTCCATTTGTCATTCTATGAAGGGGTAATTGGAAACGCATCAACACGCGGATAAAATTAAAAGACACGCATGTTCAGGAAATCCGTGCGACAAAATACTTCGTTCAAGCTGAGGCACCCACCAATATGTACGGCCGTGTGAGAATTATCGAGGGGTGTCCATTCTGAGCAAACAAACGCGTTGCCTTTTTCGAGGACCAATAGTTTCCAAAGGTCGATCCACCAGAACTGGGCCATGCTTTTACATGTTGGGGCACTGTCTATAAGGACTGCTCTGCGCAAAACTTTTATGCAATTACCAACAACGGACCTGTTTCTGGGCTGGATCAAAGGGCCCCGTTCCGCTCAGTCCGCCTCATTTATGCCGGGGCCGGGCCAACAGCCCATGCAGCCACCCAGCTGGCCCGCCGTCCGGGCAAGCAGTTCATTGTTTTTCACCTTCATCTTTGTGGTTCAAGGTGGTTGGGCTTATGTATGTATGTATGCATGTGTGTAC